GAACGAACGATAAAACACAACTAAGACGCAACAGGCAGCCTTGAATTTAGGAGATTGCCAATTGGATCATACTCAGAAAACTGAAGAGATAGCTCAAGATTTAATATTTACAGCTACAGTATTCCAGGATAAAGACCACATGCAATCTGTTATACTCCAGATTTTGTGCATCCAAGTATCTTAATTTTATCATAATGAATACAATTTCAACTCATGGCTTATGCAGTACAAAAACAGAATTTAGGAATCCTAATTAAAATTACCCATATTTTGTAGAACTGAGATAGTAAGAGAGAATGTACAATACCAGATACTGCCAGTCCTGAGCTAAGGTTGTAAGAGCCAGATGTATTCCACATGGTCTCTGATGGCGATACATAATGTGAACCTGGGGGTGGTGAGGGAGTTGTTCCTGTGTACCTAACAGGAGATGGGAGGAGAAACAGAGACACAAAGTTATTCAATACTGATCACAGATAAAAGGGTATTGCATCCCCTGCCTTCTAATTTTCTTCCTCTATATTTGCATATATCTATGTTTTAAATATGCCTCTTTTAAGAGGAACAGCACATGGACAATAAATCTTTTGACCATTGCCTGGCATGTTGTGTGGATTGAAGTTTAGACAGCTCCAAGGCGAGCATGGTCACAGCCCTTGCTTTGCAATAAAAATACTGCGGACACATGAACTGTACCGAGAATTGACATCATTGAAGTATGCAGACAGAGGTGATGGTGATCATAGACTTAAACTGACTCAAATTACATTGAACTGACCGTGCAGAAATTAAGACTCATGGTTTGTCGTTATCATTCCTATTACTGTTTCTTTTTGTCTTGCACAGCATCCATTGTCATTTAATAAATCCTGTCACCCACCAATCTCAGACCTCCCCTTTTGTTCCTTACTTGGTCTCTGAATATGTTTAAAGACTGTTGGAGCTCCATCTTTAGCTGGTATGGAGGAAAGGTAATTGACCTACATCTTAGCACAAACTAGAAGCACAGGCAAGCCATTCAGCCTCTAGTCTACTCTGCTATTTAACTAGATCATCACTGATTGTACACCTCAATGCCATTTTCCTGCAGTAACCCACATCCCTTCAAGTTTTTAAATATCTAGAAATCTAATGACATATTCAAAATGACTAAGCCTCCACAGCCACTGGGCTGCAAGATTCGAGATTCACTTACACACTAAGTGAAGAAATTCCTCCTCATTAAAAGGGCCTGCTTTCTATTCAGGTGTACCCTTGGTCTGGCCACACTTTCCAAACATGTGGATTAACTCACTCTCTTCCCCCAGATACTGCCTAACACGCTATTTTCAGCATTTTCTACTTTTATCTCTTTTAAAGTCAGCCATGTTTAATTGTAAGCTTTATGGACTCTGATTTCTCAGTTTGCAAGAGTGGACATTCATTCACCATGCAGAACTGAAGTGTTGCACCCAGAGCTAGTTTAGCTCCAGTCTACTACTACTCCAGCAATGCTATTACCATTCAATATTTAGCATAACAGAAACAGCATAAAAACAAATATCGGAAGGGTTAAAAATGACCACAAAATGCAAGAAAAAAGTTAACCACCATTATTTGTAATCAAATCTCTAAACTCTTTATAGCTCAGGAGAGCAGCTTAACAGTTATGCACAAAACGTTTGATTTTAACAACCTTGGACCCAAACTACTAATGCCATTTTTTCAATAATTGAAAATACAGCATTAGTGTCACAGATCAGTAGTGCCAGAGATTTTGGCCACACTTTCCAACCATGTTCAGTATCTCTCTCTCTCTCTTCCCCCGCCCAAGATACTTTACCAGAGCTTCCTTACTCCCCTTCTCCTCCATGATGACCATTTATACCTCTTCTGGACTAAACTTTTGTTTTGATACTTGTTTTGCCTTGCACCATTACCTTTTACATTTAGTCACACCATGCCCCAGACCTCTGTTGTTTTTCCTGCCCCCTTTTCCCTGACTGTGTACTTGCTTAGAAGATCTCGACCACCAGTTTCTAATCAGAAGCTTTAGCTGCTTCTCTCTCCACATATGTTGACAGATTTGGTGTGTTTCCAACATTTTCTACTTTTACTTCAGTTTTCCAGAACCTGTAGTATTTTGGCTTTGTACAGCAATACTTCATTGAGGTTTTCTGCTAGAGTTTCATTTCTGAGCTCATTAGCTGAGTCCAATATCTTTAATTTTGTTTTCTCAAAGTTTCTGTCATTAACAACTTTGTCGTCATGTCTTTTCAGATAAGAGCTACTATTTTTATGGAATAGTGCACTAGACATGAAGGAGGATTGTAAATAGCTGAGATAATTGATCTACAAAGTAGGCAAAAATTATAATTCAATTGTTCTTGAAGAGAGATAGTCAAGCAAAAAGATTTAGTGGTTTTTATATTTTACCCTTACAGATAGAAATTACTTGCAGGTATAAAGAATACAAGGTGGCGTTATTTCTACGCTAATCTTCTACTCCTCCCCCCTCCAGTTAATCACACTATTTTGCTCGATAATGGATATTCTTAGGTGCAGCCAACTGTACTACTTGGAAGAAGAAGAAAACATTTGGGCAATGTAGAAATTCTAATGAGGAGTCATCTGTGTTTTCTCTATTCAGAAAAGTGGGTGAGAAGAGAAAGAGAAGCTAAAACTGGGTATCTCTGCAATGCCAGGCTGTACAATGATGAAAGGAGCATCTGTGAGCAACACTTACCTGAAAAAAGGGTTCTTCAGGTCCAGTACATTACTAGATTTTGAACCAGTCTGATCCACCTGGGCTAGAATACTAATGTCATAACTTTGCCTACAGAAAGACAAACAGTAAACGTTCCATTACACAGGTGAAAAACAATCAACAATTCAAGTTATAAAGCTGATGGACAACAGTGGTTTCACAACCTTGGGAGCATGAAAGTCTTCACTGGAATAAAATCAAGTAGACTATCACACATCTAGGAACAGATTAATAAAAATTACAGTCAATTGAAAAAAAGGTTGCTCACCACATCTATTATTCCTATGACAATTCTAGAATCCTGTTTGGACTCCTGTATTGTACCTATCATAAATGTGATCTAATCAAAAACTGCTGTCCACATCTTGTGAACATACCAATTAAGAGTAGGAGTAGGTCACTTATTTGTTCGAGCTTGCCTCACCGTTCAATAAGATCAAGACTGATCTGACTTTGGGCTCAACTCATTTCTTGACTACCCCAATATTCTTTGAATATCATTAAGGCAAGGGTAGGTTCTTGACTAATAAGGTAGTCAAAGGCCACCCCCAATTGTTCTAGGAAAACAAGCTCTAGAGACACATGACAGAGAGTAAACAAAATCTCACTGCCACCTTAAACAGAAGGCCCCTTATTTGGAAACTTTGGAAATCCCCTAGTTCTAGTCTGTCCACAAGGGGACAACATTATTTCAGCATCCACACTGTCGTGTTGCCCCAGAATCATGTATGCTTCAGTAAAATCAGCTCTTTTATTTTGCAAACTTAAATGAATATAGGTCCAGCATGTCCAGCCTTCACTCGTAAGATAATGCTGTTATCCCAGGGATTAGTTGAGTGAACCATCTTTGAATGGCTTCAATATGGTCTCATCAATGTTCTGTACAGTTCAGCAAAACATCCTTACTTTCATATTTTATTCCTCTTGCAATAAATGACAACATTCCACTTGCCAAAATCATTTGCTGTACCTGTGGTTCATGTACAAGTTGGGCAGATCCCTTCGTATTTGAGGAATCTGTCTCCATTTAATATGCTGTTTTCCCTATTCCTGCTGAAGTCAAGAAGGTCACACTTTCCCACATTATACTGCATCTCCAAACTTTTTAAAACCCACTTTATCTGTCAACTATATATACTCAACGAATGGGCAACCTTGTGTAAAAGTTGATGCCTGATCAAAACAAGTCATTTCTCACACATCTCATGTATACGTTAACCCAAAAATCTGAATTATTTGTATCACCCACTTGGCGCTGAAATCAAACTTGTCCCCTTGCAAACTCATTCATTTGATAGAATCACAGAATAGCACAACATTGAAGACAGCGGTTCAGCTTATGACTGCACAGATCAACAAGTGATGTCAAGGCTACTACCTCACCTGGTGCCAACCTCTAATGTGAGAGAATGCATTGTCAAGAAGGAATGGCAGGTACACAGCCAGTTCAAATCTGGTTTGTATATAAAAACTTCAATATTAAAAGAGACTATCTGGCTCCTTTAGAACTTTGGGGGCAGAGTTGGCAGGAATAGTCTCCAGCCTGGTAACTCTAACAAGAGTTGATGGGACAGGGTGCCTTTCAATCATTTGAAGATACTACTTGCGTAAAATTCTAGTTTTACATAATAACTTATGTCCTTTGAAGAATCGTATCCGCCATACAACTTACTTTCCTACATATCTTTGTGTTCACCAAATTTAACAACCATGCATTCCGTTTGTACATAATGGAGGCCTGAGCACTGACTTGTGGTATTCCATTTGTTGCACTGTGCCAACCTGAGAGTGACACATTTATGCCTACCCTTCAGTAGCCAATCTTTTATTCCTGCAAATATGCTACTGACCAATTCCTTGACCTAATGTCCCAATTCACTTTAGCCAGATCTGCCCATATAATTTTCCCTTTTTAAGTTTAAAACCTTTGCTTGAGAATCATCCTCTTCTCTCCTTTGAAATGAATGCAAAATTCAATCATATTGATCACTGCTTCCTAGGTATGGCTTTATTATGAGGTCATTCACTTCTCACTGTACCCAGGTACAAGAGACAATACTACATAAATCTAAAACTAAAATCAAAATCTCCATTAATCTTGTCTTGTTGCACATTACCACATCTAGAATAGCCTGCTCTCAGAGTTGCATGTTTTCAAGCCAAACAAAGAGACAAAGTGTGCCAAGGACAATCATGAACTCCAGTTCCAGGCTACCTTTGACTTTTTGATTCATAAAATCTGTAAAATCATTAATGATTATCAGTAAACCTCTCTTAAAAGGTGCCCATCACTTTATTTCTTCCTGTACACTCAGTCCTACACAGTGTGATTAGTATTAGGCCTGTAGACCACTCCCACGAGTTGCTCATTACCCTCACTATTTCTTATGACTACGTAAACACCTCTATTTTAAAAATTTGTGTTCTTGCTTTCAACCTCCTCCATACTTTACTATCACTATAACACCCTCCATTCCTATAACCCTTAGAGGTTTCTGCATTCCTACCATTTTGGAATCTTGCACATTCTCAATTTTTAAATGTTCCAACCATCAAGGACATGCCTTCTGCAACCTAGATCATAAGCTCTAACATTCAATGCTGAAACTTCACGTCCCTACCCCTTTCTCCTCAAAAACTACTTCTGCAGTAATTGCTTCCTATGCAGTTCAATGTCAAAATCGTGTTTTGTTATGTTCCTACAAAGCACCTTTGTACACTTTACTAAGCTCATGGCACTAAATAAATACATGCCATCTTACCTTTTATTGGCATTCAGCATGACAGTCCCTGACAGTGTATCACCTGCCTTGGTGAAAAGTGGCGATTGAAGCAAACAGCGAACTTGGTACCAATGAGTCAAAGGCTCCGTTGGAGCAGTTGAGAGCCACACGGTCATTCTGAAAGAGGGAAAGGAGGTCGTTTCTGTGTGTCACTAGAACAAAACTGAAATTAGTTCAGGACACAAAACCTTTAGAATTCATACAATCCCTACAGTGTGGAAACACGCCAATCGACCCATCCAGTCCACACCAACTGCCTGAACACCCCACCCACCCATTCCAGTATACCTTCCCATGGCTAATCCACCTCGTCTGCACATCTCTGGACACAATGGGCAATTTAGCATGGCCAATTCACCTAACCTGAACATCTTTGGACTGTGGGAGGAAACTGTGGGGAGAATGCGCAAACTCCACACAGACAGTCACCTAAGCCTGGCGTCAGGCAGCAGTACTAACCGCTGAGCCACTGTGCTGCCCTTTTCAGGATTAAGAACTCACATTGACACATTCATCGATTCATTTTCTTCAAATTATTGTGTCAATGCAGGCTGTATGACCCAAAAAAAAAAAAGCCTGCGTGGATTAGGCAAAAACTATGCAAGCCCATTCCTTCCATTGTACATGGCAATCTGCCTTCTGCCCCAAGATATGACCCTAAATAAACTCCTCTGGTCTTTAAACAGAGTTACAACTTCATCACGATTAACAGAAGTTTCTTATACATGGAAGGTTACAGCATGGAGGTGGGCAGAAAGCAGTAAGGTACTAAATCAGCTGTGCCCTAAATGAATGGCAGAAATGGTTCAAGGATCCAAATGGCCCACCTCTGCTGCTAGGACTCTAACTTGGTCCACTGCTTTCACAAAATGACAGTTCCTATGGTTCCAACAACATTTACATAAATTTTAGAGCCACTTCAAATAACAAATAACTTAGTTACAACAATTTATACACATTTGAACTTAAATACTCACTGGGAACCAATGAAGGCCACATCAAACCAGAATGCCAAACCATGGACTAACCCTGAATGTAACATATGGAACTTGAATGGAATTTCTATCCTGTAATAATAAATAAAGTAGTGAAGATATTTGGGAGAAAAATAAAGTGTCAAATTGATACCAATACTTCTAAAAAAATATTATCACAGTTCTGGCAGTGTGCACAAGGACACCCTACTTCCTACATCTCTCACACACAGAAGTATCCCAGTGCTGTTACAAAACAGGAGAAAGTTAGGAAACAAAGACCTTAACCACTGAAGCAACTCCAGAGGGCGGTAGTAAATCAACTCCAAGGTGCAAGAGTTAGCCTTAAAAAGCCTTCAAATCTCCTTCACTCAATACCAACTAAACCTTTCCTTCCACTTTCCTCATTCATTTAAGCGTAGCTGCTCTTAGCAATGCAACCACTGCAGGGGAGATTGCAGACAGTACAATGCAATGGTCTAAAACTCCAATTAGATCATGACATTGTGTAAACAGGCTTTAATTAAGATGTGACATTTAGTTGTTTTTACAGTGCTGATTGCACAAATGGTTTTCAGAAGCATTGCAGCTGCCTGCATACAATATAAAAGTGATACATTAAGTGATCAGTAGCACAAAAAAAGATATCTCAGCAACAGCAGTAAGGTCCAGGGATTCTTTCATTAATGCAAGAATGCACAGCTGGCTGTACTTCCACTAAGTGGAAGAATTACAGGCAGTAAGCAATCACAATATTCCCACATCTTGTAATGACTACAACAGAGCTGTTAGTGCAATCACTAATGTTAAAGAGCATGCAGATCAGCTGTCAATGGCTAGAGACTGGCAAAAATATCTCAAAGCCATCTCACGAACGTGCAATACAAATTAAAATTAAAAAAAAAAAATTCATTCTGGACCAAGAATATGGGTTAAGTATGGGCAGTGGGGAAAAAAAAAAAGAAAGAGGTCCAAGCTCTTTGCTCACAGACTGTGATGCAAGTATAGCCCTACTGATTACTGCCTGTGGTCACTCCCTGATATCCCTCATTCTCCAATCGACATAAAGAGCCATCATCTCAGGTGACTGGTGAAGCAGTTCACAGCAAAACACTAAAAAAAACACGGAGTTGAGGATTCAGGGCTGCAGAGCATCTAGGTGATACTGGAGGAGACTGCGGCCAGCATCACCATGTGCTACATTAACCAGGCACTGGAATGTAGTGTGGATCTAGGCAGAAGTAGATCAGAGCAGACCTACTGTAATTTCACGAAAATCTCACCCCTCCACATGTTTTGTAAAAGAGGACAGAAAAAAGGTCACAGTATTCTATGTACACTCCTTGGCTCAAGGTCATTCACCCAAGATTGCTGTACAAATTCATTGGTTTTGAACAAAAAAATTACAGCTAATAACTTGTACATAATCACAAATGCCCATTTACATACAAAAGACACAAGATTCAGCCATCTCCATTCTCACATCAACTTACCAGTGATTGCAGAGTAATCGAACAGGTCAGGCCTTCTGCAAACAAAAGTCGCCCACATAACCCTCACTGCATCTATCATTTTGTTTTAAGATATACCTTCTGGGTTATTTTCGTGAAATTACAGTACTTCCGCCCTTGTAATAACATTAATGGATTGGCTGTTGAAATAACCAGGAAATTTAGCGGTCCTGCAAGCAAATCCTGATCTTAGCCAATTGACTCCAGCCCCAATAAATACAGGAGATGTGTGGCGATTCTGTGTGACTGGTGCTCCATCAGCCCCGTTCATTGACTCCAGCCCCAGACACAGGAGTTGTGTGACGATTCTCTGGGACTTGTACTCCATCAGCACTGTGCACTCTGAGTTCGACATCTTACCGGTGCAAATCATTCTCTTCGGCTTCTAGAAAGTTCACTGTGTACTTCACCGACTTGGCCATTAGAATCCTGATATCAAACGTGTCCTTAAAAACATATGGTGAAATAAGTCACTAACCCTTGTAAAGGGACAGCTTGCACCAACACACCGCCGAGGGACACCGTAGAGATACAAGTACAGAATGTGGAGTTAGGATACATTTAGTTGCCTCAGATTTGGGTTGCAGGCTTACATAAAGCTGGAAATTTCCTATACCAATGACTTTTAAAAAAAAAAAAAGTATAAATATACTCTTCAGTCAATTTCTTTCATATGGTCCTGTACAATCCAAAACATGCTGGGAACGAGCCAAATGGTCAATCATTGCAGCTCAGCTGATTCTGTACAATGTTTGATCATCAAGAGTAACAAATACAATCTTGCCCATACCGAAACATATACTTATTTTAAGAGTTCTGAATAAAAAGTCACACTGACGCTCCTTTCCCCGCCCCACAAGCCCAAAGTTAGTTTCATAACCCAGATTTTGACTTGTTGTTACACAAATACAGGTCTGAAAACAGAAAAGATCAAAAAAACCAAAGGTCTTTTTGGAAGCGGATCTGAACAGTGTGTTGATATACTGAGATCTGGCCTTTTGGATAAAGAAAATTTGTTTGGTTTGAATGGACCTAAAAGTGAAGTTTATCTTCCGAAGGCCCGAATAGGCTCTTTGGGGGGGGGAAAAAAAAAACAAACAACTTTGCTTTTAGGTCTATTGGGTTTAGTAAATTTCTTTTCACCCCCAAAAGGGTCTGAACAGACTATAGTGGACCCAAAAACCAAAAGTATCCCTTATCTGAAAACTAGGTGGTCCCAAGGTTTTTGGATAAAGGATTCCTGACCTGTTTCTGGAGACTTCATATTCAATCCTGGAAACTCTCCCAGCAACACAGTGAAGAGAACATTTATGGTGCACAATTAAAAAGACTTTAAATTAGCATATATTAGAAATGCTCACAACACACTCACCACAATAGGCTGCTTGAAGTATTCATCTACTGCTGCACCCCGCAGGGCTGATAAATCCACACCATGGAAAGACGGCTGATACCTGGCATCAAGCACAAGATATGCTAGTGAGTCACAACAAAAAAAAAAGCAGAACTGGATTCACATCTGAAAGCTATGACCAAACAAAATCACCCAGTCAGACATCAGGTTCAAACTGGAGCTAGTAAAAGGATAAAAAGTAGCAAGTGCACAAATTGGCAAAAAGTTCACAAGCAACAGAAAGTTGTTACAGCCCAAATTGTAAGGTCAGCAGTGCCAGAATTATTTGTTCAATGGAGTTCAAGACAACCATAAAAATAGCAATTGGTCAGCTCAGTGCACGAGCTGGTCCACATTTACAACATACCATAAAAGATCAGAGTTTCAACAGTGTCAGAAAAGATGAATAACTTTCCCCTAATCAGGGAGAACTGTCAAGAAACGTCCTTGTGAACACTTGTGCATCTTGCCTGTGTGAACTACTCTCAGCAATGTCCCATATCAGTGCAATGGAATGGAAGGAGTAGGTCTGTCCTTTAATTCCATATAAGGACTGAACGGCGGCCAGCAACATTTCTAAAGAAACTGGAAAAACACAAACAGCACTAGCTGTTGACAGCTTAGGACTTCAGAGGCATCACCCACCAAAAGCATGACATATATTTTTACTAAGTGACAGAATTTCAGCGGAGTGGAGCAGCACAGACAAGCATATTTGTAGAGATCCAAATACATACATCATGTTGCTAGGGGCAGTGGTGGCAGAAAGAGGGAGTTGGGGAATAAGATGTAATCTGGGGCCATTTGCAACATGACATCAGGAACATTATACGATGAAACCTGTGACATGCAATCCTCGGTGAATGCCATCTGCTGACATAGATTTTACAAACGTGTGTGTTTCAGACTGCATCTTGTACATTTGGGTCAATCAACAGGCAATTGTTTTAGCTGGGTGTATGTTTATGCAGGTTTTACTGGACAAAAAGTGTTGGGGAAATGTTACTGAAACAGGAAGACCTGGGCAACACTCGGATTTGGATTGATAAATGGTACATAATATTGGTGTCACACAAGTGCCAGGCAATGACGACAACTGTCAGAAGAAAATCGAACCACCTTCCCTTGATATTTTAGGGCACTACCATTGCTTAATTTCCCAACAATAATGTTCTGGGAGTTACCATTGACCAGGAATTTATATAGACCAGCCACTCAACTACTGTGGCTACCCATCTCTTGACTTCCCAGACTCTAAACAGTGGTGTGCTGCAAGGATTGGTGCTGGGTCCGCTGCTTTTTGTCATTTATATAAATGATTTGGATTTGTGATATGAATATAGGAGGTATAGTTAGTAAGTTTGTAGATGACACCAAAACTTGTGGTGTAGTGGACAGTGAAAAAAAGGTTACTTCAGAGCACAATAGGACTTTGACAGGATGGGCTAATGAGCGGAGGAATGCAGATGGAGTCAATTTAGATAAATATGAGGTGTTGGATTTTGGGAAGGAAAACCAGGGCAGGATTCATACAGTTAATGGTAATGTTCAAGGGAGGGTCGCTGAACAAAGACCTAGGGGTGCAGGTGTATTATTCCTTGAAAGTGGAGTTGCAGGGAGACAGGGTGGTGAAGGCAGCGTATGGCACACTTGTCTTCATCGGTCAGTGCATTGGGTATAGCAGTTGGGATGTCATTTCACGGCCGAGGACATTGGTGACACCACTTCTAGAATACTGCGTGTAATTCTGGTCTCCCTGCAATAAGGAAAATGTTGTTAAACTTGAAAGGGTGCAGAAAAGATTTACAAAGATGTTGCCAAGATTGGAGGGTTTAAGCTATTGGGAGAGGCCAAATAGACTGGGGCTATTTTCATTGGAGCAGAGGCTGAGGGGTGACTTTCTAGAGGCTTATAAAAACATGAGGGACATGAATAGGATGAATAGCCAAGATCTTTTTCCCAGGGTAGGGCATAGGTTTAAGATAAGAGGGGAAAGATTTAAAAGGGACGTGAAGGTCATCTTTTACATACAGAGAGAGTGGTGTGTACACAAACGAGCTGCCACAGCAAGTGATGAAAGCTGGCACAATTACATCATTTAGAAACACATCTGGTTGGGTACACAAATCAGATGGGTTTAAGAGGGAAATGGGCCAAATGGGACTAGCTTAGTTTAGGATCTCTGGTCAGGACCGATGAGTTGGACCGAAGGGTCTGTTTCCATGTTGTGTAACTTGATGACTGTGCTGTGTAACTCACCAACCTCAAAGGCACAAACCAGGAGTAAGATGGAATATTCTTCACTTGCCTGTTTGAATGCAGCTCCAACAATACTCAAGCTCAACACCATTCAGGACAAAGCCACCTCCTTGGCTGGCATTCCATCCATCACCTTAAAACATTCACTACCTCTGCCAGTGGCACACAGTATTAGTAGGGTGTACTAACTATAAGCAATGCAGCAACTCAAAACCTCCTTGACAGCTCTTTCTAAACTTCTGAATTTTACTGCCTAGAATGTAGAAGGACAGCAGATGCATGGGAACATCAGCAAGTCTCATTCCAACTGGCACACTGATTTGGAACTATGTCACTGTTTGGTAACTGTCACTGGGTTAAAAATCTTGGAACTTCCTTCTCAACATCATATGTGCCTACACCACATGGACTGCAGCAGTTCAAAAAGATAGTTCACCAGCACCTTAAGACTGCAACACTCCCATTCAAATCATGAATAAAATAAAAATATAGCGCAGACTGAAGCTTAGGAGAGAAAAAGAAAAAAGGAGCTCTTAAAGCAGGATGAACATTGAACTCAGTCTGCATCGAAACATCTCTAGGTACGAAGCACTTTAAATATTTTAGAAGCCACTTATTTTAACACATTTTACTCAATACAAAACAAGTGCTTTGTGCATAGCTTCCAGTTAATAATTACTCAGGAGGGGAACAGACTGTTCCATCTCAAAACTGTCCTCCCACACTCCTGAGGCACCGTTCCTGCCAAGGCAGAGCAACAATCATACCAGAAATTTGCTTTTGTAAACTGCTCCATGTAAAGCTGCTCATCTGTAAAGGGCGCAAGGTGAACGTCACCAAGGGTTGGAAACAGATTACCTAGAATGAAAGTAAACGTTCATTAATTATTGCAGGCATATAAAACAAACCAAAGTAGACCTGGCTATCCACTAGTACAGTGTAATAGCAACACATGTTTGAAACTTCTACAGCCTCAACCACATTTAAATGGTGTTGTAGAACAAAAGCCACATTACCACTACCCTTCAGGTTAAATTAGGCCAAACGACCTGGTCTTCTTTACTGTTGAGGAGAGGCAGCTAAGATCTGAGAGTTGGTCACCCATTCATCTGCCTAGCTAGACCTTGACAGGTGGGTGGAACAGGGAGGGCAGAACAAAAAAAAGGAAATTAATGTGGACAGAAAGAAGAGGTAGGAAAAATGGATTGGAACACTACATCAGCAGAAATTGCACCAATCTCAATGCAGCAATGAAACAAGCCTCAGTTTTTCTTGTTAAAATAATGTAGACAAATATTTTGATGTAAGTTCACATTAAAGCAATAAAACAAAGCCACGCGAGTTACCCCCTACCTCATAGGACATTTGGGAGGAGCCCAGGATAGAGCATGAGCCAGATGGGGCTCCAAATTACAGAGCAAGCACAGACTAGGGCAAAAATGTTCTTAAATTTTAAACCCTAGTCCAATGGGGCAGTTAAGAGTTGCTGAATACCAACCAGGAACACTTTAGTGACAAGGAACAGGTTGATATTGACTCCAAGCCTAGCCATTTTTACCTGCCACCCTGAGCAGCACTGAGGAAGGAATATCACAGAGGTTTTTAACATATACGTGCGTTTGGGAAACATGGATTTGGCAGTGGTAAAAATCGACTGGGTGATTCAACCCTCATCACTCCCAGTGACTGAATTGCTCAGTAGCAGATAGCCAGATCTCCAACCATTGTCTTGATAAATGAAGTTGGTGTTTTAGTGAAACAAATTATTAACTGAATTATTTTTAAACAATTCCCTTTCAAGCAGTAGTCAACTAGGAGGATTAAAACTGAGCCAAGTACCAGCAGACCAAAGGGATGGCGGTGGCATAAAGGCATTATCATTGAACTAGTATTCCAGAGAGCCAGGCTAGATTTCTGGGAGCATGTGTTTGAATTCCACCATGGCAGATGGTGAAATCTAATTCAATGAAAATCTGGAATTAAAAGCTGGCTTTACGGACCAATTAGGGCTGGGCTATAAATGATGGCCCAGCCATGAGCAAATAAAAAAGAAATGCCTGAGAATGCTGGTTTGAACCCAGGTCTCGTTCAAGGGTCTGGTCTGGATCCAAAAAGTGAGGTCAAATATGCACTAGCATTTACACAGTACACAATACATGTACACCTAGAGGCACTGCTACAATCCAGGTCAGTTGATTAATGAACTTATCAACTCATTGTTGACTTCCCCAAAGTTCTCATCTCTGAGGCCTGGATGTCAATGTTTAATATCGTCCTCGACTGAAATGGGCAGGAATCATCTTCACACCTCCGTTCGTCAAAAGCACTAACAAGCAAAGATAGAGGACACATTAAAAAAATTCAGTGTCCTAGACCAAGAATCCCAAATCAAAAAACAGGCAAGAACGTCACAAAAAGTCAAAACTCAAGACAAATATTTCACCAGGTGAGCCCTTAACTGAATGGTTCACATGACACTCAAGGCCACGCATGGTCTGTAGTTCTCAGAAGAGACTATGCCTGAAGTTGTCGGCATGCAAGGCAGTGTAAGAATATTAAATTCATTTGAATTATACACAAGAAAATACCTTAAGTGGCAGAAATGAGCCGAGATAGCTGTCGACTCTCAGAGATGAAGGGACCATTTATACTCTTGGGTCATATCCAATGTGACAGATTCATTTTTTTGAATTGTGTACAGGCAGGAGGGGAGAGAATCTATTTACAAATCAAAAGCCAGCAATCTAATGCAATGCTGTTGTTAAGATAAATCATTCAAAATAAAAGAAATGTACATTCTCGAAACTAATCTCTGGGGAGATACAGCTGATGCGAGTCTGGTGGGATCTAAACAGTGACACGGCTTTGACATATTACTGCCTTTAGTCTTGGACCCTGCACTTCAATCATGCTATCTGGCCAGACTAAACACCAGACTGTGCATTTAAAGATATCATTAAAGGCACATTTTACCTGTTTTGCACATCTGGAAAGGGGGAGGGGGGTGGGCATAAAAACAAATAAAAGAGCTTGCCCACAGCTACAATTACATGACCTATCGGCTAGTAAAGAAGTCAACAACAACAACAACAACAACAACAACAACAACACTTGGTAAAGTCTCCAAACGAGATTACTCCAATACTCATCTGTCAGCCATCCAGAGACAGAGATCCTCAAGAAAATTATGTGCAACTACCCTTTCTAATCCCCCACTCTCTTCCCTAATTAGCACCAACCCCCACTGAAAGTAAATCCAGCTGGCTGGCTCTCACTTTACGTTTGAGCAAACTGAGCTTTTGTTCAGAAAGGAGTGGACAAAATCTAAAGATTTAAAAATGAAGACCATGAGTTGTACTTCAGCTTACTTGATGGTCCAACTGCTTTATAAATGTACATGCACTCGTGAGCACACATTTTATGAACACAAATAACAAGCAGAGCAAACCATCCAATGAACCAATTAGATTAAGTACTGAAATCATATTAAAAAACATCAAGAAAGTTGAAGTGAAAGGATGACTGGATTTCCAACTTAAGACACAGGAAATTAGACACAAACTTGGCATTTGCACAAAAATCTCCAAAAATGTTTGGAACACAAAATACTGAACTGAAAGATGTGAATCACTTTTCTACCTACCATTATAAGAAAATATAAAATAAAAGCATAATTTCATTTTAAAAAAGTACATACACACCTACTTTGATCTACAAGAGGACTAGAGTTGATAAAAATAGATTAAAAACTTGATTTAACAAAACTTCTTTGTCTAAACTGGGGTTGTAAACAGTGGGTTGTGGCAGAAGACTGAAGTGTCAGTTGATATAGTTTAAAGCCTTTTATTCAAAGAATTTGATAAGTTATAATCCCTCCCAAGTCCTGACCTTTCTCTTCAACACCAAGATAAAACAAAAACAGTGTGCAACAGAGAGAGAGTGCACGTGAGACAGACAGCAAGCAAAAGCATTGTCCTTTCAAACTGAATCTGACTTACAGAACTAAAAGAAAAGTAGCAACCTGATGGTTTTTGAGCAGGTTGGGGGGATATGGGTAGGGTGTTGGCGAAAAAGGGAGAGCAAATGGGAGGGAGGAAAGAAAGAAGATATACGAGGGAGATAGAGAGGATGGAAAAAAAGTGCTTGGTATAGTGGAGGATGGGCCAAGGAGGTTATCAACCTGAAATGCTTTTCATTTCTCTCCACAGATGTTGCCTGACCCAAGATATTTCAACATTTGGTTCCCATTTCAGATTTCCAGCATCCGGAGTATTTTGCCTGTGTGTTATGGCGGATAGGCAAGATTAAATGACAAAATATAACAGGAAATAGGAACAGGAGCAGGCCATTCAAACCTTCGAGGCTGTTTCACCATTCAACATGATCATAGCTGATCATCCAGCCGAGTATGCTGTTCTCGTTTTCTCCCCATACCCTTGATCTCTTCAACCCCAAGTACTATAGCTTACTCCTTTTTGAAAGCATTCAATGTTTTGGGCTCAACTGTTTTGTGTGGCAGGGAATTCCACAGGCTCACCACTCTCTGCGTGACGGAATTTCTCCTCATCTCAATCCTAAATGGCCTACCCCATATATTTAAACTGTGACCCCTGGTTCTGGACTTCCCAGTCATTTGTGACATCCTCCCGGTGTTTACCCTGTGCAGTCCTGTTAGAATTTTCTTGGTATCTACGAGATCCTCCCCCATTCTTCCAAAATCCAATAGAGGGGTCAGTCCTGGCATCCTAGGAATCATTGTAGTAAATCTTTGTTATATTGTCCCCTTAGCCAGAATATCCTTGCTCTGGTAGGAGGACCAATACTCCAGATGTGATTGCACCAAGGCCTTGTACAATTGCAGCAAAATATCCATGCTCCTGTACTCCTATCCTCTCGCTCTGAAGGCCATTTACCTTCTTCACCACCTGCTGCACCTGCCTGGGAACTTCCAGCGACTGATGTATGATGACACCTAGCTCTCTATGCACCTCCCCCTTTCCCAATCCAATCACCATTCAGATAATTATCTGCCTTCCTGTTGTTGCGACCAAAGTGGATAACCTCACATTCTACTACATCTGCCATGCATTTACCCACTCACTCACTTGATTTGCCAAATCACACTGAACCATCTTTGCATCCTCTCACAGCTTTGTGTCATCTAAACAAGGTATCTCTACGTTTGCAGTTCCCTCACCTAAATCATTAAATACATACTGTAAATAGTTGGGGCTCAAGCACAGATCCCTGTGGTACTCCAGTAGACACTGCCTGCCATTCAGGAAAAAGACCCATTTATTCCTGCTGTTTGTTTCTTGCCTGTCAAACGTGTCACTACACTACCTCCAATCCCAAATGCTATAAGTGTACAGGCTAATCTCTTATGTGGCACCTTATGGAAAGCTCTCTGACAGTTCAAGTAAACCACATTCATTGCTTTCCCCTTATTAATTCTACTAATTACATCTAAAAAATTAATTGATTTGTCAAGCACGATTTACCTTTTGTCAATCCATGCTGACTCTGTCTAATCCAGTTACCCTTTTCCAACTGCTCTGCTATTAGTTTATAATAGATTCTAGCATTTTCCCCACTACCAATGTCAGGCTAACTGGTCTAGAATTCCAATTTCCCATACCATCTGTATAAAATTCTGGGGTTACATTAGCTACCCTCCAATTCATAGGATCTGTTTCAAATTCAATAGAATCTTGAAAGATGACCATCAATGCTTCCACTATTTCTAACGCCACTTCCTCAATTATTCTGAGAAGCAGACTCTGGGGATTTATCAGCCTTTAATCCTATCAATTTCCTCAACCCCATTTCCCCACTAATGCAGAATTCCTGCAGTTCCT